AGTTGCTGGCTTTAACCTCAAAACAAGAATAATTCTTGCTTCAGGGGAGAAGACTTGACTTTACAGGCTAAAATTAGTGACTGAAGCGTGCAGAACCCCACAGAGGCTTATTTTCTGCCTTTGGAAATCTCAGAGTATTGCACAGTGCATCTTCCTGCACTAACCACATCATGTGTGCCTCTGGCACACTTGGTGAAGCTGGAAAATGAAATTTTCAGCACTTCATCTGTATTTTTAAATCTTATTAAACAGAACTCTCCCAGTAATATGAGCATGAGTAATCAGCCTGGCACTCCCAGAGATGACGGTGAGATGGGTGGAAACTTCCTAAACCCTTTTCAGAGCGAGAGTGTAAGTATTTCTTTACCTAGTTTGTTTTTTTGTTTGTTTTTTAATTTGTGAACCTTTATCTCTTGGATTTTGTTTAAAAACAGAAGAGTAACAGCGAGAATAAAGAGTTTTGTAATATACTTGTAATGCAGCACTGTACCTTAAGGGTTTTGTTTTACTAGCTTCTAAAATTAAGAGTATTGATTTGACAAAAATTATGCAAAAGAATGCTAGAAGTTGAGCTGAAACTGGGATTTACTGCAGAAACTTTCACTCTATTAAGAAGTTACTTGTCAATGAAAGTTAGATCTGTTAAGTAGCAGTAATTATGCCAAACATATTCACTAATGCACAACAGGTATTAGGCAATACCTGGCAAATAGCTGATAGAACCTTACATCTGAGTGATTTGATCTGTGGTTGCCCAACCTTTGAGTCCTAAGCAACGTATTTTGCAAGGAATGTCTTTTATAACCAGACTCACACTGGAGTATGTAATTACAGCACCAGCAGATCTCATCTTGCAGAGATGCAGTGCGCTGTCAGAGGCAGAGAAAACACAGGTTCCCTCTAGTGTTCATTCTGGGACAAATGTTGCTCATTTTTAAATGGAGAGTGCTTGAGGCAACAAAATGTGGTGTAAAACATATTACAAAGCAAGACTACAATATTTTTATATTGGTGTGCCTGAAGCTGGGCTTCAGAATCCACATTTAGGCTCCTAAATAGGAGTGGCCTGATTTTTCAGAAGTGCTCAGTGACTTCAACACTTCTATTCTTGCTGGAAGTCACTGCTGCCAGAAGTGATTACAACTTTGTCAACTGTGCCAATGGTGAACTTCAGCTCCGAATTTTTGATGAGGAAACAGATTGTTAGATCACAAAACTGTCAAACTGCATGGAAAATATCATGGAAATCAGATTTTTGTGGGTTTTTTGAGTTTGCTTCTTTAGCTAATGAAGAGTTTCTGCATGTTAGCTGTTCATGTCTTCATAAAGAGGGCACATGTTTATATTGTGTGGAGTATTGGATAAAATTTGTTTGTACAACCTAAGAAGACTGATGCTTCTGTATCAGCCCAAAAAACAGTAACCACAGACCTTCCATTAAGTGTCATCCTTGGTCACAGTAATCCTTGACTCTCAGTCTGGTGTGTGTTGTTCATACTGAAGTCAAGGAGTCTGATCAGCAGACTGGCAAGTTCACCAAACTAAGGTAATGAAAAGAAGGACATTGGTTGTACTAAAAATACAATCAGTCTTCTCAGGCATTTACTGGTTTCTAGATCCTCCTAGATGTGTTCTTCTACCTGGAAGAACCTATTTTCTCAAGGTTTTAGGTGAGATGCATGCCTTATAGGCATGTGCATTCTAGTCTACTTGAAGGTTCCTCTGTAACACAAGTTCAATTCCAGTTCTTGCAAACTCTTGTGCTTTCTGATTCATATTTTGTTACTTTGCTACTTAGTGTAGGCATTATTATGAAGTCCTTTCTGAGGGAAATACACTGTTGAGTTCACCAGGAGTTTTGCTTAGCTTGGGGAGCAGTGCCTGGCTAATAATAAGTTAAAAATCACAAACACTTTTACATATTCCTTCAATTCCTTGTCCAAATCACCTGGGTACTCTGGCTCAGATACAGGAAATCACTTGAACAGATGCTTTGCTTTAAGCATTTGAGTTGCTCTCCAGCACTGGCTGAAGATAAGAATGTTCCTACTAGCTCTGCTGGCCCACTGTGGGAGTGCTCAGCAGGACATGATGGGTGCGAGCCCCAAAGACAAACCATCAAAGGCATCACATGGAACAAAATAGACTTTACCCAAGTAGTCAATTCTCTGCAGTTTACCTGACAGGGAAAAACCCATCCAAAATGTTTTTCTCGTTTGTTTGGACACTTGAATATGGCCAGCTTGAAACTCCTAACTTTGGTGGGATTCTTACTGCATATCTGTCTTTGCTAAAGTAAATTTATCTTTCTGTGTCTATTATGAATTTTCACAATGCTAATACTTCTTGCATTTGAACACTTTCCTCTATTTAGAAGATTTTAGGCCAAATTAAGTGTTTCTGCAGTTTGCAGTTTTCAATTTAGAACAAATTGGGCATATAGATGTGCACTTCTGGGCAGTGTGGTGTCCCATTGATTATTATTATAATGAAGTACTGCTAACCTGAGGTCATCCGGAGCTTGTATAAGGGCTGCAGTTCAATTTGTGTTTCAATTATCATGTAATGTAGTGATTGGATTTTTGGTTCACGTAAGGGAGAATGACCACTGATCCTTGATTCAACTTTCCTCCTAAAATCAATAATTCAGAATAATATAGACCAAAAGCCTAGTTTAATTCCAGTCATACATGTCTTTACTTCTTTATTTCCATAAAGTAATTAAATGTCTCCAAAATGTGTATCTGGTGCAGCTAACCATGAATGCATCTGGTCTACTTGAGATTAGCCAGCTGCCTAGATGAATCCCCCCCAGTAGCCAGCCCTGACCAGGAGAAGGTGTGGAAAGCATTAGTGAAGTTACAGGTTTATCACACCACCCAAGTAACCCCAAAACAGCCAAGGGAGCTGCTTTATCAGCAGCCACTGTGTTTTTGCATAACGAGAGGAGCGTAACAGAAGTTGTGATGCCACAAACTGAACTACAGCCTTAGGCCAGGGTACCACACAAATACAGGAGAAAGCTCAAAAGAGTGTGTTGACACTTGAACCCATTGCTGTGGTCCAGAAGTGGTTTTAGTTTCCTGGGGAGGGGGACAAAAATGGTTGTTAAAATATGGATTCCTCTTTTTTCAGTACTCCCCTAGCATGACAATGAGTGTGTGATCCATTAACAAGTCTCGCCATGAAGACCACAGTGAGTTGGCCCTCTTCAGAGAGCTACTGCAGAAGAAAATTATTCGTCCCAGTGTACAGTTTAACAAAAGGATCTCAGACACAATCAAACTCGCCATTTTTCTTTCTGCCATCTCCCCCGTTTTGTCAAGACAGTGGGTCCCAAACATGATTGAGACAACTGTAAAAGAGTGGCGTAACAGAAGATGGAGCTGCAAACAATTATCTGTGTATGTACATGTGTGAGTTAATGTATATTTATGTGTGTGTGATACAGAAACACACACATACATATATAGACCCACAGAACAGTATAAAATATTATCACATGGCATCTTAAGTAGAAATGAGAAGTAGGGACTTCTTTTCCATTTTAATTTTTTTTTTCACGTTTACATTTTAATTATTAAAATTTGCTTTCCCTCTCCCCTCCTGAACTGTTTTATGTTGCATATATCACTGCATATTTTTTAAGGTGAACTCAAATGATAAATTCTTCTGATTTTGTAAATGTCTGCCATTATGGATAGGAATAAAATTGCTTATAAGAGCTTTCATTAACTTGTGTTTGATACCAGTTACCCTGTGAATCACAAACTGTGCTGTCTCAAGAAACAGAAGAAAGCTCATCTTAATTTTTTTGAGAAATTTAATAATTTTCACCTAGTTAGATGATTTATTTTTTTTAATACTTTGCCTTTAAAAAAATAAACAAGCACTGAAGGTTATTTTTCTTCTTTAATTGAAGCCTATTATCTGCAATATCTATTTTAAAAGGAAGCCTGAATTTGATACAAGCTTCTCAGTTTATACAGAGTACTATAAGATTACTGTAAGTGAGCTCCTATTGCTATAGAATCTAGCAATAAAGTGTCAGGGCTGCGTCTGCCCTTGGAAATGAATTTCCTATTGAGCATTATCTTTGTAGGGGTGGTAGCTAGTGGAAATACCGTAGAATCCCTATAACCAAAACTTTTTCTAATTACTTACTCCTATGTTTCCCATTTTCAGTTATTCTCTAGTGAATTGTAACGATCCATGGTCCTAATTATAAAGAGGATTTCCCAAGCCCATTCAGAAAATCAGGTCACCTGGCTACTGGGATGTGTGTTTTTCACCATGTCTATCAGAATGAATTCCCCCCAAAATCTTCAAGTAAACAATCTTTTCTCTTTTTTGAGCCAAAATAATGGAGTAACTTTTTATGACTACTAGCTGTGGAAGGGTCTTACCTTTTGCCACAAACAGGAGAGGAAGAAAGGTCTGGGCAATTTTATAAGGAGATCAGCCTATTAGACATGAAAGCTAAGGACAGAATGGAGAAAAGTTATGTAGTCTTACAGGAAATGCTTCTGGAAGCAATTCTGTGTCACTTCAAACAAAGCTCTAAAACCCAGATTATGGCACATTTAGTTCCTAATGACTGCCAGCTCTCCTGAGAAGACCAAAGTTTTCAGTTGTGAGCAAAAGGTTGATGATTTTGCCACAGACAAAAAGCAAAATCCCCTCCTTGGACTTTTACGTATAGAATAGCCAGATACATGGGAGGAACAGTTCTGAGATTTGTCCATGAAATCTAGTGGGATTTTTTCAGGAATCTGTGATAAAGAAGCACAGGTAATGTGGTGGTAGCACATAAAAGAATGTTTAAGGAATACTTCAATCTCCTAACTAATTTTTATTTTCATATATTCTATATATAAAATATAAGAAAATAAAATTTTACTCTCTTGTTCAGGCTATTCAAAGATTAAGCTCTTGGAGGCCTAAACCAATGTTAAAATACCCAAGATTTTGGTAGCATTACTTTCTAGAAATAATAACTACTTTGTTTAGTTATAAACATAAAAGAGTCATGACATGGTTTTGTGGACTTTCTTCCCAGTCATGATGGTTACATTCATTTGCTTACCTTTGAAAAACACTTGCCCATCCCAAAAGATGTTTGAAGCCCCTACTATTGATTCCAGTTACAAAAAACAAAATATCAGAGCTAATTTCCTCAGACCCTTTGCTGTTGTCCCTTGTGCACCCCAGCTTCTCCCAGCTGCAGAGACCAGGTGTCCTTCCTGCCTGCGTGTGACATCTGTCCTGTCCTTGGTAGCCTTCTCAGAAGGGCTTCAGGGCTTTTTTCTGCCCCATTTGTCAGACAGTGTCACAGCTGGACGTAAGGTATGTCTGGGCTGTGCTCCAGAAGCTGTGCACCAGGTAAGTGTGCCCTCAGGTGAGCTCTTCAGCTGCTGAGTCCATCAGGGGTCTGCTGTGTTTCTTCAGCAGAACCCTCTGTGCTGTCCCATGACACCCTGAGGCTTCTGCAGGCAGGCAGCGTGTCCAGTGGCCAGAGCTGCCCATGATGGCATCACTGAGGGCTCCCTTACCAGAGGACATGGAGCTTCCTACTCTGGCAAAATTAAGCAGAATTAGAGCTTAGTGGTAATCAGAGACTCAGGTTTAGTTTTTTTGTTTGTTTTATTTTTGTTTTAAAGATGAAAACCAGGCCATTAAATTAAACCTGTTCAAAGAAACCCCTTTAATAGGACTGCCAAGATGTATTGGCTATCATCAAAATACATTATCCCAATTGATACACAAGAGTATAACATCCTTTCAGGCACACAATTTTTCTTCTGTAGCTCTTTCAAAATCCCTCTGCAATTTTTCTTAGTGCCAGTATATCATTGTTTCCCCTTTTGATTTATTTTCCAAAACATTTATATTAAATTGAACGTGGTTGCATTGATCCTGCAGCACAAAGATCAGTAGATACATCCCTGGGTTCAAAATGAGCAGGATCAGGCCCTGCCTCTCATAGCCTAATGCTCTGCTCCCTGGTATTACAAGTTAATTGCTGTGTCCAGCACTTCTCACACCTACATAGTCCCACAGATTGGTGGAACAAAAGATGCACGAGGTTGAAAGATTTTAAATTGGAAGATTTGCTTGAATACTTTGTGCATATCTTATTGTTAAAATTTTAATGCAGATACCAGGAAAGCTAGGAATCTTGCTTTCTGTAGGGAGTGCTTACACTCCCTATGCTTACATACATCAGTAAAGTTATTTACACAGACTTTGGTAAGATCAGGGGATTATAGTCATACATAGTCAATTTTAAAATTACAAGTATCCCTTCGGGTTGCCTTTTTTTTTTTTTTTAAGATGCAAAGAGCTTTTGCTTGTTCATTTTTTTTTTTCTTTCTTTTGCTTATAAATCCTTGTAGGATTCTTCTACTCCCACTTATCTACAGGATGCTACAGGATAGTTTTTCTGTGCTGACTTTTAGATAGACTTCTCTCTAATATCAAAACAAATAGATCATGATTCTTTAAATCACACTTTCAGGCAAGGCTAAAGGCTTTTCAAAAACTAAAGTGATGAAATCTTGTAGTCTCTCATACTGTAAAAACTCTGCCAAACTCTGCCAGGGCCTTGTAGAAATCAGCTGAATTTGGATTCACTTGTGTATTTCACAGTGAAACCAACATCTTACCTGCTGCATATTCTATGAGAAGGAGCATTCATACCCAGATTCTCTCTCCATATCTGGGTCTTGCATAGGCAAGAACAGGGCTTAGGGCAAGGAAGAACCTGTTAATCACACATGAAGCATGTGGCCTGACGTATGCATTAGAAATACCTGGATATTTGCATGTATGTGTTGCATTATTTTCCTAAATGCATAAGCATGAGGAAGAACTGCATTTGCACTCTGTGTGTTTCAGCTCGTCCACCGTTGAGTGAGTTTGATGCATGTAAAAAACATGTCAAGAACCTCTGAGTCAAGTCTTGGACACCCTGTAACATAAATGTGCCTCATCTTGGCTCCCAAGCAATGCCCAGACCAGCCTGTGGCTGAGGCCACGTGTGCCATTGTTTCTTGGGAAGCCCTGCTTGCAGAGCCCAGACCACCAGCAGGGCACAGACTCATAGGTGGTAACAATTTTCAACCTTGGCAGCCTGATTCCCTTAGTTCAGGATTAAATGCCCCATGTCCCAAGTCATCCAGCTGTTGCTTTCCCTCTTGTAATGGGAATAGGCCATGAGAAGTATGTAGGCTAATTATTTACTTCAAATAATTCAGATTAGGAAGAAGTGAACAGTATCTTGCTTCTCTGTTGATAACAATTCCGCATCAGAATGACAGCTTCTACAGCTGGCTAAAAGTAACTTGAATTTTCTTCTGTTCCATGGCTAGCAAAATAAGTACTGCATGCAAAGATGATTTGGAATTAGATGGGTAGTTTAGTGAGGGACCAGCTGTTGCAATATTCAGTGTTGAATATTTTATTATTTTTTTCCTTGTAAGAGTCAAAATGAATTTTCAGCTGATACATGTTGCACCAATTTATGTTTCTCAGACCAGTTAATTATTTTAAGTGTTATCTCCCATTCCTAGTCAGCTCTGATTCTTTGTTATTGTTGTGGTTTCTAAATAGGGACTGAATTCTTCAAGATTTGACCCTACACATTTGCATTTGGAGAATGTAAAATAGACCTTAGTGATGTAAAAAAACCCAACCCAAACATCAGTACAGGTAAATTTATTTTTCTTTATTAAATCACTGCAAGTGATTATATAACTGTGGCTCCTGTCCCAAACATTCTTAATTTTGGCTGAGCCCTGAGGATGGGAATCCTGACAAAGCACATCTTTCAAACAAAACCCAAAAACTCTTAACACTGATAGCTCGATTCTCTTCATATTTATCACATAGAGGATCTAATTCAGGACTTAATTTTATCAAACAACTATAAGAAATCAGTACACTCTTAAATAATGAGTTATATTTATATCTTAGTGTGTGCAACTTCCTCTGCATTCCCTTATTGGCTCAGTCTTATGAGCTGCTGCTCATGCTGGTTGTCCTGCTCAAACTTTGTTGGAGCCACTCACAGAAGATCATTTGTTTTGGTAGGATTTCGCCCTGATCTGGGTGAAATATGTGATTTATCTGAGATGCAACATTATTTGCCTGATATATAAACTAAGTACCTAGAGCAAAATACAGAGGGTCTGATGAAATTACCAAAAATGATGTTGGAGAGTCTGCCAGTGCTGTGATCTCAGAAACAAATTACAGTAACAAATTTGGAGAAAATAAATAGGTTTTCTGCTCAACCCATTAAAACTCTGATCCTGCAAACACATTCATATTTGTTTGAAACGAAGCCTTAATTTCAAACACACTTAATTCAAACAGGTTTAAGAACACAAGCAGTATCCTTCAGAGCAGTGGAACTGCTACTGTGCTAAAACCATGAATAAGCATGGACAGTCTAGAGGCTCAAATTAAGTCTTCCCTAAACAGACTTTATTTTAAAGATTTTACCAATGCAGGAGCTTGTTTATTTATCATTAGTACTGATATGTGGAACAGATTTGGCTTTCTTCTGTTTCTTATTTTATTAGATTAACTATTTTTGTGAAGTTGTCCTTCCATCTTGTTTTCAATTGTGCAGCCACAGTTTCTCTCAACGTAGCTCTCAGCTTTGCAGTTTTAGTCCAAATTTCTGTTTGGTCACTGTTCTCCATTTAAGCTTAAAAAGTGTAAGAAAGCCTCTCATGTAATGGGAAAACTTGCCATAAAAATGTAAAAAGGGTTTATTTGGTACCTGTTTTCACATTTAATAAAAATGCAATTTTCAGCTTTGATTTGAAATGGTCACTTTCTAGCCACTATTTAATTTCTGTGTGCAAAAGAAATTAAGAAAACAAATTACCTTTATATATATATATATTTCTTTGAATTCAGCATCATAAGCATTTGCAGAAAGACATGGTTTTTTAGAGAAATTGGATTAAAAAAATGGGATTTACTGCCTAATTGCTGTGAATA